TAAAATTAATTTAGATAAAGGTAGTAAAAGTAATAGAGTTAATAAAAGTCACACGTCCTACTTTTTTCGCAAAAATCCCAAGAATAATGACGAAGCATATTGTAAAATATGTAAGCGGAACCTTACTGGTACCCAGAAAGAATCCTATGCTTATAGTTGTAAAGGAGGCATGACCTCAAATATTTCAAATCATTTACGTAATAAACATGGTATAACAAAGCAGAATTATTGAGATTACTTGGATATGAACCATGAAGTAAGAAAATATATATATATCTGATATGTAAAAGATACGGTAATTATTTACTACGTATAACAAATTTATTTATTTTAAATTAGCCAAAAGAAAATCAAATGTTTGTACCTCAATGTAGCAAGACTCGGCAAAAAGAGCTTTCACAACTTTTAATTAAATTTATAGTCAAGTTTGTAGAGCCCTTATATATTCTTCAATATAAAGATTTTCGTGAATTTGTTTATGGTTGTGAACCTGGGTTTCGTATACCATGTAACAAGACTGCTAAAAAATTGATTCATGAAGCATATTTGTGGAGTATAGATCAATTAAATAATCTGCTTAATAACACAGCTACTTCGATTCATTTAACAACTGATCTCTGAACGGCCAAAAGTAATTACGGTTATATTGGAGTAATGGCTACCTGGCTTGCCCCAACTTTACATTTCGAGAAGTGCTATTAACCTGTAATGTTCTTGATCATCCACATACTGGTGAAGTTATTAGCGAGGAATTGAACTGTGTTATTCAGCAATGGCATCTTACAGATAAAGTTTTTACCATTGCTACGGACAATGGTGCAAATATGGTGAAAGCCATCCATCTTTTTAATAATACTTTACCTTCTGTTGAAAGACAACCTTGTGCAGCCCACACACAATAATTGTCTGTTCACGAGGGTCTAAAACAGTGTAAACATATACATAAGCGAATTAAAAGCTTACAATTATTTTTTAAATCACCAAAACAAGCACAGAGGTTAAGAGAGATGCAATGTAATAATAATTCAGTTGAAAATAATGAAAACGTTGAAGTACCACTAAGTCCTTTAGATGTCTTGCTTGATACTAAAACTAGGTAGAATTTGACATTTATAGCATGGAAACAGCTTCTTGATTTACACAATTCCATATATTTACTTTCAGCATCATTAAAAGTAAAACAAGATCGTGCATCCCAAAAAGAAGGAGAAAAATTAGACAAACTATGTTTACATCTGAAGAAAAAACGTAAGTTCATTATCTTACTATTAAATTAGAGAATTAGTATTTTCACATTCTATCAACTATATTGCTATAAAATCCTAGTCCTCTAATTTTAAGCTTTTTTTTATTACTTATTTTTATTACACGATTACACTCATGTTTTAATAATTTATATATATGAATGTAATCGTTGTAATTACTTTATTGTTTTTAATCATTCCCAATAGATAAATGATCTATACAATTTGAGTTTTTATAGCTTTTAGTTTAATGAGACCTAGAGCTTGAATGATCAATTACTACTGCAGTATGTCAATGATCATGTGAGCACAAAATAACTCTTATGCAAACCAACCTGAATCGATAAGTACTGGTACTCTGTTTTTTTTTTTTTTTTAGTCTATAGTTAATTCAAGATGTATTATTATGATATAGTGGTCAAAGAAAATCCAAATTAAAGAGAAGAACACCAACTTTTGCTGCAAAACCAACTTGATGAGTGGGATATTAACCACTTATCTTAGCCTATTGTCGCAGGTTAATTGGGTTAATTAGTGACTTGCGTCATTAAATAATGCCGAATGATAGGCACTTCGTAGAATGATCAAGATATGCAGCCAAGGGTAAGTTACTACTATGTACAGTCGAATATATAAAGTAAGAAAGATACTTATTCTTTTTATTATTTTTATCTTATTTATATACTTAAATTTTTACTACTCCTATATGTTACATCATACTTTGCTTACATAAAATTGATATAAAACAATTCATACTTTTTATGCATTACTATCATGATTTAATTTATTACACGGTTATAATTCTGACCTTGATCGATCATGTGGATCATGCGTACAAGACCCTAATCGATCATTTTTTCGCTTAAGCTAAGTATTACATGCACATGAATATCTGCAGCATATTTTTTTTAATTATTATTACTGACATATCTGTTTGTTTAATATTCTCGAGCCCTAATTCAATCAACGCCACGTACAAAATACACCGGATACTGCTTTTTACAGCATGATTCTCTGAAAGTTATTTTCCTAACTCGACATCACACAGTGTGACAATTTGCTAAAAATATATGCCTGTAACTAATCGAATGCTAACCCTAACCCTATGTGATGTTGGGTAAGTGACTGTTGAGGAATATCTTTCAGAGAATTGAGTGACAACCACCTGAGAATATCCTTAGTAAATTGGGAATGACTAAACATTTTAAATTTTAATTTAAAAACTGCTATTTATAAATTCATTTTAAACTACTTGCAGTTTTATTGAAGAAATGGTCCAACTATTAGAACCATTTGAAGCTTTAACACGACGGTTATCGGGTGCTACATATCCAACACTTAATCTGGTACATCCATGTATATACATGTTAAAACAAATATTTGCACCAAAAATTGAAGAAAATGAGACTATTGATGATTACTTGGATCTTATTTATGGTCCTTTAACACAAGATGATATCTTAGAAAGTACTGAAGCCGATAATAATTCAAGTTCCATAAGTGATGATAATGATATTCCAAATGCTGGAAATCAACAACATTTGAAACATGCCTATCAACAATTTAAGCAACAGATAAAAAATACACGAAGGCGAGGTAGAGGCCGGGGGCCGAAGTAAAGATTGAAATTAGCTAAATTTTTAGTTAAATTATCAGTTAACTATAATTATAGTAAAACCTCTATAATGCATACTCTATTTAAATTCACTAATTGTATAGTATACCTTAGTCCCGACTTATAATATTTTTTGTCTTCTATAAATGCACACTCTCTAGGTGTGCATTTTTGAAATTTTTACTATGGTCCTGAAGGGATGCACTTACGGAGGTTTTACTGTATTAGTTTTTGATAATAAAATATTTACTATATAATCGATTAGTTGATTGGCCTATTAATTATTGAATAATATATTATTTTTCCAATCAAATCATCAACTATATAGTATTTTAGTTAGTCGACAAAAAACATTTAGTAAACTAATCTATTAATTAATAATTTCTGTCTTTAGGTCGAGGTCAGGGCCAAAATCGTAGGCGGATAACTAAAAAAAATAAAAATAAAGATATAGATGTTAATCAAATTGAATGTTTGCCACCAGCAAGTACAGAAAATCTTATCAAAAAGGTCCGCGCAGCTATATACCTCTCCTTGGATAAACTCTGGGAAATGCTGAATGAAACATCATTAATTGCAACAGTTTTAGATCCTCGTATGAAAAATTTTTCTTTTGCAAATAGTCATGATTGTATACAACAGCGAACACAAGCAGAGTTTCTTCTAAGAATCCTGTACAATCAACTCAAGAAAGATTCAGTGAATAGTGAAAATATTGAAGAGCATATTTCAACTGCAGTGAATTTGAATGATAATAATACTGAAGACGTATTTACAAAAATGTGGGCTGATGATGATCAAATACTAGTAAAAGATGAAGTTACCCGTTACTTACGTTATCCAGATGAACCCAAAAATATTGATCCTTTGGGTTGGTGGAGAGGACACCAGGTAAATTATCCCTTCTTGTCACAATTAGCACGCAAGTATTTCTCGATACCTGCTACATCTGTCCCCAGTGAAAGACTCTTCTCTGATGCCGGTAATCATATCTTGGCAAGAAGAACACAATTAGCACCTAGCTTGGTTAATAGTATTCTATTTTTAAAACGTAATACTATATACTTTCCTATGTTTCCACCTTTAGAGACCAATGAATAGTTCTCTTTTTTGCTTGAATTTTAATAAAGTTGGTTTTATCTAAATTTTATTAACCGGAATAAATAAAAATGAATTTCTGTATTATATAAATTACTCAGATATACTGATTAAAGTTAAAGCTTCGTAAATTTATGAAAAATATAGCACTTTATTTAAATTAAATAAGTTACTTTTGAAAAGTGCTTTTTCAAATTTGCATAATATCATGAAAGTCTCCAAGAATTCCTAAAGAACTCAAACGAAACTAGAAGTAATTAAAAAGTAAAATTTTTGTCACATATTAACATGGTTATTGTGCCAAAAACAGTTTTTATTGAATGGCAAAACATTTCTCTTGCATAACTTTTGATAAGAACGTCTTATCGGTTATCGTTACGATATACAAGTTACATCCAGATTTCGATTCAATAATCCAGATTTAAATTCGAAGCTGAAGATCACTAATTAAATAAATCTGGATTTAAAAAATAAATCCGGTTCCAAACTCTACTGGTGTTTTATTAGGTTTCTTTTTAATAATCTTTGCAACTTTAAATTTGATGCTAGGTTTTGTATCTATTATATAATCTTTTAATAGTTTTGTAACATTTGATAAAGGGTCGATTTCTTCACCTGTTAACTATTTTTTAAGATCTTTTTTAACCAGATTTTCATCACCTGGACGTTTTAAAAAATTGCTTAAGAATTTATTAAAGAATTCAGCAGTGCATTTTTTATTCTAACTATTAAATACCCAATCATTTTTTTCTTTGATTGATTTAATACACATATCTATTTCTTCTTGGGATAAACCATCATTTTCAAGTTCATTGGTTTTATTATTTAAAACATAATAAAAAAAAGAACGTTTTGCTTCAATAGCTTTAAAAAGATCATTGGTTTTTAATCTGACCGGTAGTAAATTATTATTTAATTTTTCAATATCTTCCTTTTAAAGTTTTCAGGTAAGGAGATAAAGGTTTTTTTATTAGGGTCTAAAATTTTATCGTATATATCACATGCTTTATCAAAAATTTTATTATTTATCTTTACAACGTCTATATTTAGAAATTTTTTATAATTAAGTTTTTTGTTAACAATTTTTATTTCATCATTGATGATCCAACTATTTTTTATACATGCTTTTGCTTTATCAACCGACAACCCTGATTTGTATTTCTATGCAATTTTTAAATTTTTATCTAAAATGTTATTTTCTATAATATAGGTTTCTCATGCTTGTTTTTGTAATATTACAGACATTATCACAATTCTTGGTTGAGTTTTTTTGCCAATTCTTTTTTTTTGGTTTCTCTTATATAGTTTAATTTATCTTTACTTCTGTGCCTGATGATCTTTTTATCAATACTTTTAATCAACCTGTAAATTTCATTAAACATTTCTGAATTAAGCAGAACAGAGTCTTCACATTCTTTGATCATTTTTTCAATCTTATTATATTTTTCTTTTTCTTCTTGAACAACCTTTGTGTTTAATTCATTAAGTTTTTTTCTGTATGAATTTTCCAAATTAATTTTTTGTTTATTGTCCAACAATTTATCATTATTAAGTTGTTTAATCTTATCCAAATCTAACATGTCTATTAAAGTTTGCGGATAGTCAAATGGAGCATTAATGATTTTTTTATATTCATTGTATTTATTTGTTTCAATGACTTTTTCTTTTTGATATTTCATTGTTTTGTCAATTCGGTAATGAGATTGTTTGGATATTCAGCATTATCTTGTTTTAATTTTTGAATTTCTTCATCAATTTTTATTTTTCGTTTAATTTTTTAACATCTAATTCTTTGTTAATATTTTCTAATATTTTTTCATATGCTTTGATTCATATTAATCTTTGTTCTAGTAATGATTTGATATTCTCACCTTATTCAGCATTAGTTTCTTTTAATTTATTAACATTTTTCTTGATATTCTCAAGATTTTTAAGTTTTTCTCTTCATCGATTTGTCTTTTTAATTCTTCTGCTAATTCTTCTGCATTATTTGCAATTAATTCTGTGTATTTCTTATTATATTTTTCATACAATTTATTGAACAAATCTTTGGCTAAAGGTTTATCTTTAATTGATTAATAATCCTTTTCAAAATAACACCCTCATTATGTTTCAAATCTTCAATCTTTACATTTTTATCATTTATTTCTTTAATATCTGATCATATATCTTAATATAATCTCTTTTTTCTCTTTGATGCTTATCATAATCTTTTTTAATTTCTAGGTATTTGTTACAGATCATATCAATTTTCAAATCAAGTTTTTTCTTATCATCTAGTTCTTTTGCCGATTTTGATGTTTTGATTATTTGATCAATTTCTTGTAATCTTTTTTGTTCTTTATCAGTTAAACCTTCAAATTCTGGCAGTTCAAGTTTATCCAGTTTAATAGGTTTACCTTCTAGTATTCTTTTCTCAATCTTTATGTTATTTATTTTCTCATTATATTTTTCTGTTAATGTTTTAACTTGTTCTTTTTCATTATTGGTAATTTCTTTTTTCTCAGCTTCTTTCTTTAATTCATTGATAGTTTTGTAATGTAAAGAATTTTCATAATTTAATGTGGGAATAGCTTGATTCTTTTTGAAATCGTTTAATAGATTTTCAACTATTTCATTGCTATAATATTCTTTAACAATTTTTTGAGATAATCAACATGTTCTTTACTATAACTTTCTAATGCGAATTTCTTAATCATCTCATTTTCTTCATCTTTGGTAACCAACATGAGAGATAATTGTTTCTTTAACCATTTTATGTCTTTTAGAGTTTGTTCTTTATCATCTGCAAGTAATCGATCTTTTGCTAATTTTTTGATTATATCGATGATTTCAGAAATGCTTTTTGCTTTTGATTTTTCTTTTTCAAGATCTTTTATTTCCTTTTTTATTAATTCAATATCTTTTTGTAAATTATTCTCAGTTTCACTCAAATCCTTTTTGGAATTATCTGAAGGTTTAATGATAGGTGGTGTGAATGGAGTATTTGTTTTGATTGTTCTAATTTTTTCAATTTTCCCTCTGGTAACTTCACTTTATTAATCTTATCTAGTATTTCTAATGATTCTTTTTTAATATCTGGATGTAAATTCAAGATTGAGATAAGGTAGGCTAAGAGATCCTTATCTTTTTTATTATGTTCGATACGTCATTTGATTTTTTCGTTATATTTTTACAAAACGATTTCATCTTTATGGTGGAATCATTTTCTATGAGTTTTAACAATTCCTTCTTGATATATTTCAACCAATTTATGTTTTTATCATTTAAATCTTTTTTAAACTTTTTCATCTTTTCAACCCAGTGTTTTTTAATGAGTTCTTCATCTCCTTCATTAGTTATTCTATAATCATCTTTCCAAAAATATAATTTATAATCAATATTTGGTAAGAATTCTTCAAATTCATGTGTATTTTCTATAACATCTATTGAGAACCTCACATAACAAAGATCTTCTAACTCTTCCTTTTGTTTGATAAAAATATCAAGAGCTTCATGTTTTGCTTCTAATATAGGATCGACTTTTTGCTGAAAATTCTTATCTTTGAATAATGCATGGTATAATCTATTATTCCTAAATAATTCGCAATCTGTTTCCAATTTGATATTTTCAAGAATTAATATTATACATTTGGTATGTTTCCAATAACATTCATGTAATTTAACTTTGTATCTTCTCGCAGTTTTTAACAATAAAGGACTGTTTATATCAAGGTTCATATTTGATATTTGATTCACAATCCAAAACATGTTAACAATACTAATTTATTAGACTTATTCAACAGATAATTAAGCCACTGTAATTTATTTAGATTTAAGTTATCTAACTTTTCTAAACATCACATTTCAAAATCATGTATCTTTTCATCTCCCAATTTAGAAATCACTTCTTTATTGCTAAGCATATTATACAAAAATGCTCTATATATGAATAGTTTGTAAGTATCTTTAGTTTAAACAGATCGGTAATAAATTTTTCTTATATTCAATATTAGCTTTTAATTTTTCACATAATTTTTCATATGTCTTCATTAAAATATCAGTTTCATTCTGTGTGATTTCAGTATTTTTAAGTATCTCAAATTCAATTCTTCCACCTTCACAAAAATCCAAAATATCTTC